TTTGCTAACCCTGTCCATCCTGTCATCCTTCCGAGGGCCCAGCTCCTAGACGGCAGACCCAGGGCCTCAGGAAACCTGCGTGGTGGCCCTGGCTGGCGGGGCTGCCAGTGCCAAGTGTGAGGCTCGGGGCGTCTTCCATGATGGTGACAATGAAGAAGGAGGAAGGGAGTCCCTGCCTCCTGCTGGTGTCAGAGCTGCAGAGGAGCCTCACTGTCCCGTCACACCCCCTTGTTTTGCAGACGGCACATGGCAGGGAGAGGAAAGCGCCTTCCTACCGCCACAGTTGTCATGTGAGGCCCTGTGCCCCAAGGGAGGCCCCCACAGTTCTTGGTGGCAGAAGTGGGGACAATGTGCTGGAAATGCAGGTTTACTTTTCTGTAGTTTCTGAAACAGAATCTTGAGCCATGCTCTCTTGGCTGAAATCCCCTAGAGCTATTTGGGAGAGGGTGGTGGGCGGGCTGTGGGTGGGGAGTTAAATCTGGTGTTTGTGGCTGCGCAGTTGGGGTGCGTGTCACAGTAGAGTGACTGAGCTGCACGTGGTTCCGCGTGCCCCAGCTGGCCCACAGTGCGGGTGAGCAGCCCTGGACACAGATCCAGACCTGCACAAGGTGGCAAGAACGTACAGGCTTAGAGTGCAGTGCTCACACGTGTTTGCATGCCAGGCCCTAGGCTGGAGGTAGGGAAGTGGCAACAGAGGCACTCGTCCTGGAGGGAGGGAGGCAGCAGTGCAACAGTGGCCTAATGTGTGGGCTGCTGCGGGGTAGGACGCTGTCACCTGTACCTCACCTCCCTGGTTTCTTCAGGTACTCTGCCGCCCTGGCCGGTCCTTTCTTTTTGGATGGATATGTTGATAAACCTGGATCATAGCAGGATTATGTATGGATGATTGGGTACCTCCTGCGAAAGCTGGGGGAACTCTGCTCTGAGTGACCCCAGTGGCCCCTGCCGCATCCCACAGCAGAGGTGTCCTCAGAGGTGTCTTCGGCCATGGTCCAGAAGGACCCAGGCAACAGCTCCTGCTCATAGGCTGCTCCTTGTCCGCTGGGTCGTGGTGGCGCCATGGACTGCCATTGGACACAAGGGCCCAGTCACAGCAGGTGTTGGTGAGCACGTGCGGGAGTCTCCCAGGTGTGGAGGAGGTTGTGGAAGAGAGTCCCGTGGGTTGCAGTTTCTCTGCCTGGGCACAGGGGTCAGAGGCCAGGGCACCCACGCCAGCTGTGTCTCAGATCTCCTTGGTCTGTCCCTGTTTGACAGCCACACTGCTTTTGCCTCTGACTCCTGGGGCATGGCCTGACAGTCAAGTTTGTTCACCAGCAGACAGTGTATATGAGACTGATGAAAAACGTTCCACCGCTCTTGGAAGTTCGTATGTTGGATGCCTGGCAGGCCTGTACCAGGATAATGTTGTGGGCATAACCGCCAGGGGCCAGGCTTGCAGGGGTCTTGGTGAGTCAGGCAGGAGGTAAGGAGTGTGGAGAGGTATGGAGAAGCTGCTGGGGACAGGGGAGTGAGCGACCCCTGGCGCTAATCTAATCTAACCACCGTGCACCCCTTTGTTTTGCTTTTCTCCCCCCAGTTTTTCCATGAATGTGTTGCTATATGAAGAAACTGGACAGTGGGGGTCTCTTGGATCTGGCATTTGGCAGGGGAGAGGCATTGTATGGTGAAAGGAATGGGTGTGGTCCAGCCAAACTCAAGGGAGAGCAGGGTGCGAGGAGAGGCTGTGGCCAGGGTTCATGGTTGGTTGAGTAGGATCCTCTCACAAGACTCCAGCTGACCTGTCAGGGGAGAAGGAGGTCCTAGCTGAGTCCATGAAGCAGGCATACCACTTGGCCTGGCCTGGAGGCAGACAGCGACCAGGGCTGCTGGCAGGCAGGCACCTCTGGCCATCTGAGCTGTTGGAATCCATGCTGCTGCCGGCCCAGCCAGGAGTGCTGCCGCGAGTCACGCTCTAGAGTCACCGTGGATGTATCCAGGGCGGGCCTGGCCTGTGGGAAGCAGTAGCTTGGCAGAGATTAATCAGAAGACTAAGTCACCATGAGGATAGAACATGCGTCCCATCTGATTGCTGACAATGATGAGACCTTGGAGAAGGCATTTGGTGCAGCAGTTAACACGCCTCTTGAGAGGCCCACATTCCATGTCAGAGTACCTGGGTTCTGAACCCAGTCCTGACTCCACTTTCAACTCCAGCTTTCTGCTGATGCACACCCTGGGATGCAGGCAGATAACGTCTCAAGTGCTTGGATCCTGCCAGCCATGTGGGAGACCTGGATAGGGACCCGGACTGTGGGGGCGCATGAACCAGCAGAGGAGAGGTCTTTCTGCCTCTCAAATAAAATTCATAAAAATTATACTTAAAAAAGAGCTTTCCCATGCCTCCATGATTGGAAACATTCTAATATACTTCCCATTAACTAATGGGCTAAAGAAGAAATTGCAGTGGAAACTAAACATTCAGAAGTGAATGACAGTGCAGATGTTGCATACTGGGAACTTGTGGGATCCACCTAAAGTGGTCATCGGAGGAAAATTTGTAGGCTTAAATGAATCTTTTAAAAACTTTTTTTTTTTTTTTTTTTGACAGGCAGAGTTAGACAGTGAAAGAGAGAGAGCCAGAAAGGTCTTCCTTTTCCGTTGGTTCACCCCCCAAATGGTTGCTACAGCTGGCATACTGCGCCAATCCGAAGCCAGGAGCCAGGTGCTTCCTTCTGGTCTTCCTATGCGGGTGCAGGGCCCAAGCACTTGGGCCATCCTCCACTGCCTTCCCGGGCCACAACAGAGAGCTGGACTGGAAGAGGAGCAACCGGGACAGAATCCGGCGCCCCAACCGGGACTAGAACCCAGGGTGCTGGCGCTGCAGCGGAGGATTAGCCAAGTGAGCCACGGCACCGGCCTAAAAACTTTTTGTTTTCATTTTATTTGAAAGGCAGATAGAGATTGGTCTTCGCATTTATGCTGGTTCATTCCCCAGATGCCCACAGTAGCTAGGGCTGGGCTAGGCAGAGCCAGGAGCTAGGAACTTTATCCAGGTCTCCCACTTGGGTGGCAGGGACTCAAACACTTGGGCCATCTTCCGCTGCTTTTTCAAGGCCATTAGCAGGGAGCTGGATTGGAAATGGAGTAGCTGGAACTTGAGCTGGTGTCCGTATGGGATGCTGGTGTTGCAGGCAGTGGCTTAATGTGCTGGGCCACAATACTGGCCCCAAGGGGCGCATTGTTTTTGACATTCCATGTACTGCAATCCTTCCCTTTTCTCTGTTCTCTAGTTTTTCCTCAAAGTGAAAATAACTTAGCTTTTTTAAAACTGTTTTATTGTGGGAGTGCCATATACTAACTGTATAGTGAATATAGAAAATGACAGATTCCTAGAATTAAGTAAAAGTAGCTAAAATTGCACCCCTCCCTTAAGCCCTGTTTTAACCCTTCGCAGACTGTCCACTTAGAAGGGTATCTGAGTGCCACCTGCCCTACCACCCTGCTCTGCTCAGCCACTGCACGTGCAGCCAGCGTTCAGCAAGTGGGGCCACGCAGCCTGCCGTGTCTGACACCTGGCACTTCACACTCAGTGATGTTATTGGGCATTGTTCCCTTTAGGAAAGTGGATCTACTTGATCCTGGTGGATGGTGGTAGCCTAGAGTTCCCAGGGCTCCTGGAGATGGGGCCTGCCCAGGCCCTTGTGGCTCCCCCCGCGTGGAGAAGGCAGGTGACAAGCAGGCACAGTCTGGAGGTTTTGCCTTTGTGTCCTCTCAGACCTGTTCCCCTCCCTGGGCCACCTCTCCCTGAGGAGGACTAAATGCAGATTAAGTGGGTCAGTGTGGGTGAAGTGCTCAGGGCCAGCCCCAGGGGCTAGCTGGTGTTGGAATTCACTTTCTCACTGACACCTCTGAGAGGGGGAACCGTGGGTGGAGTCTCAAAATGTGGGCACCTTGTCACCTGACCTACCTGAGTGGCTTCTGTCAGCCTGCCTGTCTTCTCCTGGTGGCAGAAGCTGTCTTGCCTCGTGGCTGGCCAAAACCCTGACTGGCCTTCTCAGGCACAGAGTGCTCCTCGGATCCGTGGTTGGCCTGTGGCTGTGTTGCTCTTGAACAGCTGGGGTGATCGCCACTGCCTGTGATGGCCTGGAGGAACTAAGGTGGCCTTGGTGAGAGCGGCCAGGCTGTCTTCCCACAGGAGAGAACCTCTGGTGTCTGCTTCAGCTGGGCCTGGCCGCAGTCACAGTCTGTGGCAAGGAGGAGGTCCTGATGCTGTGCTAAGATGGGTTCCTGCTCTGCGTCTTTCTGGAGTGGAGTTCAGCTGTGTGGGGAAGAACCCGGAGATCAAGCGCCTTGTCCCCCCAGCCTGGACGTGCTCAGGGCCCTCAGGTGCTTGGGCCCTTGTTCCGCTCCAGGTGGTCATGCAGGCCTTCTGCACTTGGGCAGCCAGAACAGGCTGGTCCTCCCCCAAGGCCTGAAAGTGATGTGCGTGTTAGAGGGACGTTGCTCTGCCTCCCAGGCACCTCCCATAACCCCTCCTGGCCTCCTGGTACCTGGGCCCCCCAGCCATGCCCTGTCTCTCAAGCCATTAGCTCCTGCTTGGGACTTCCACTTCTCCAGTCAGCAGCAGGGCTCTGGGGCCTGGGTCAGAGGGACTGGGTGTTGGTCCCACTGCCGTGGCCTGTGACTGCGCAGTGCATCTCTGGCTCCAGCTTCTCACTGAGGGTGTGAGGACGTTGATGCTACCTCAGCAGGGCTGCCGGCAGGGGCTGCCCTGTTCTCTCATCTCTGCCCGCCCTTGCTCCCATGGCCTGGTCTTGGTCCTGTCGTGGTGCCCGGGAACAGAGGGCTCAGCAGCGGTGCTTGAACGTGGCACACGCAGGCTCCTTGGCTAGGGGCGGGGAGGCCTGCAGCCGGTTGGCCTCTGTCCTTTACCCACTGCTGCTGTCATTTGGGAATGGTCTCTTCCCACGCACTTAAAATCCAGAGTAACCTTTGGTGCTTGTTCTTGTTTGCTCTGCCAGGGTCCGGTCACCACTGTTGCCTTTTCAAGAACAGGAGAGTATTTTGCTTCTGGAGGTTCTGATGAACAAGTAAGTAAAAAATGGCCGAGGGCTCTGGGCTGATACTGCTCAGAAGTGGACAGGAGGCTGGAGGCCATCCTGGGGATGGGCCATGTCTCACCATCTTGCTTGGTGGCTTTCAGTGACCGTGAAGGCCTTGATGGAGCTTGGGTTGAGGGTGCTCAGATCCAGAGTCCTCATTGCCCCAGAGTGGGTTTCTTATAGGTGCTGACCATGTGGCAGCATCTCAGGGCCCCTGCTGCTGAAACCAGCATGGGTCGGCGGGAGTCTGGGCTCTCACTGCCATGGAAAAGCTGATGTTTTTTTCCTAATTCTAAACAAACAGTTAATAAGTCTTAGATTTTTTAAAAAGATTTATTTTTATTTATTTGAAAGAAAGAGGGAGAAACAGAGAGAGAGGGAGAGGTATCTTTTGTCTGCTAGTTCATTCCCCAAATGGCTGCAGTGGTTGGAGCTGGGCTGATTCAAAACCAGGAACCAGAAGCTGGGCCCAAGGACCTGGGCCATCCTCCGCTGCTTTCTCAGCCACATTAGCAGAGAGCTGGATCGGAAGTGGAGCAGCTGGGACTCGAACTGGCATCCATATGGGATGCCAGCATTACAGGCAGAGACCTAGACTATGCCACAGCACCAGCCCCTAATTATTAGACCTTAAATATAGCATGCCTCTGTGTCCAGTGTAGTAAGAATTTCATCTGTCATTTCATGCTTGTGCTAGCTTGTGGGGCAGGCTCTGTCGTCTCCCTTCTGCAGATGAGGAAACAGTCCCAGCAGATGCAGAGCTGGGACAGGGCACCAGAGTTCATCTGACTTTATTTATTTATTTGTTACATGTTTATTTACTTTTATGTATTTGAAAGGCAGAGTCACACCAAGAGAGACAGAGAGGGAAACAGGGAGACAAAGATCTTCCGCCCACTCGTTCACTCTTCAAATGCCCACAACAGCCAGGGCTGGGAAAGGCTGGAGCCAGGAGCCCAGAACTTTATCTGTGTCTCCCACATGGGAGGCAGGGACCCAAGCCCTTGAGCCATCTTCTACTGCCTTCTAGCCTGTGAGCATTAACCGAAAGCTGGCTTGGAAATGGAGTAGCCAGGATTCAAACTGGCACTCTTGTGTGGAAGGCAGGGGTCCCAAGCGGCAGCTTGATCCACTGTGCCACGTGCCTGCCCCTCGTTGACTTTATAGAGCTGTGCCTCTGGCCTGGGAGCCTCTACTCCAGTATCTGCTGCCCGTTGCTCCCCAGCCCACTGTACATGCTTGGGAGGGGTGTCAGAGAGGACGCTGTGAGGAGGTGCTCTCCTGCCTTATCACCCTATGGTCCTGACCAGACTGCTAAACGGTGACCTGTCTCCCAGTGGGCACTGCAAGACCAGAGCTCCCAGGGGTCTGTCTGCAGCCGGCAGCCTCTGGAGCATCGGTGGTGCCTCCTGAGGCGAAGGAAGGCCGGCTGCTCTGAGGAGCATTGCTGAGTGCGGTCATGCCATTGACACCTGGCCCCTGCACAGCTCCGGCGCTCAGCCTGCAGGAGTCCCATTGGCCCTCCATGAGCCCTGGCCCCAGCCAAACATCAATTTTCATCACATCTCTGCCAGTAAAGCAGAGGGTGGTTGGAGGCTCCTTGACCACAGCCTGGAAAAGAGGCAGCAGGTGTTTTCTCACCGCAGCACCTGTCCTTATGCTAGCAGACGAGGGAGGAGGAAGGCATGGGGACCCCTGAGCCTGGCCGTGGAGCCCGGCTTATGGCTTAGAAGGCAGGGAATGGTACAGTAAGCAGTGTGTGGTAAAATAAATCCCTGTAGTACCAGAGCAGCCTGGCAGAAAAGAGGGCTTCTACCTAGTCTGGTACCTCCTCAGACAGCTACTGCCAGCTTTTTTTTTTTTTTTTTAATGTTTTTTATTTTTATTTATGAGGTAGTAAACAAAGAGAAATGCTTCCATCCACTGGTTCACTCCCCTAATTGCCACAATGGCCAGAACTGGTTAAGGCCAAAGCCAGGAGCCCAGGACTCCATCCTGGTCTCTCACATGGGCAGCAGGAACCCAAGCCCCTGGGCCATGTCCTGCTGCCTTCCCTGGTGCGTTAGCAAGCAGCTGGGCTGGAAGCAGGGAAGCTGGGCCTCGGACACGTGCTGCAGTAGGGAGTGCTGGTGTTGCAGGCTGCGCCGCGACGGGCCCTGCTGCCGTCGAAAGTCTGCTCTGAGAGCCCATAGAGAGGCATGTTGACAAAATCTCTTCACTAACCACTTGACTCCTAGGAGAGTCTTCAGCAGTTATATTTGCACAGTTACACAAGGACCCACTAAACAAGGCGGGTGTGAGCTGACACACTGTGTGTAAGGTGACGGATGAGAGCACCCGGCTGCCCATCTGTCTGGGTTCAGTAATCAGCAGAGCTGCTCGGGCGGTAGACAGGAGCCTCCCGGAGAGCCAGGCTCACTGCGGCGTTTGACAGGGATGTTCCCCTTGGGTCTGTTGGGAACCCAGGCCCTTAGGACCTAGAAGCACACAGCTGTATGTGGTGACAGCCTCCAGCAGGGAGCGCTGTCGCTCCCCAGCAGAGCAGCACCCTTTGCTTTTGCAAGGACTTTGGAGTGGGACATGTTTTTTCTGGCTGAGCTAAGCCTTGGGATAACGGGCGTGTTGCCGAGTGCTCCCTGGGTGCCAGTGTGTGTGCCAAGGCGTCCCTGGTGAGTCTCACAGCAGCCCTGTGCTATGGAAGCTAGAACTGTCCCCTTTCCACAGATGGGGGAATTGAGGCATATGGCTTAAGGCCCTTGCCTGGGGCCACACAGGAGGGGTAGAGCCAGGATCCTAAAACCCTCCCCCTGCTCTGTGGTCTGGCCTGCAATGCATGTGTTGACCCTAGTCCCAGTGTAACAAGCCAGGAGCATCTGCTTAGTGGGGAAACAGATGATGAACACGGGAATGGGACAGATGGATGAAGTAGCTTCAGACCCTGAGGATACAACTCCCTTGCCTAGTGGCGCTGCACAATGATGCCCCATCCCTGTGGCACTTCCAGGTCCTCTTGAGGCCCAAGAGCCCACTTTCCTGGAGATGGGGCAGACCCCCGTGTGGAGCTGAGATGTCAGGTGGGGACCACTGTCCTTCCATGGCCTGCAGCTGTGGGGTGGCCTCTGGGCCAGTTTTCTCAAAGAAAGAAACTGGCAAGGACTTTTCTTCCCCTCATCCTGAGTGCTTATCTTGGCAGGTAATGGTTTGGAAGAGTAACTTTGATGTTGCTGATTATGGAGAAGCCACAAAAGTACAGAGGCCCCCAGCCACGCTGGCCAGCTCTGCTAGGACTTTGGTAAGTGGTTTGGTGGGTGAGTCCTGAGCCTTGGGACTCTGGGGTGATTATAGACAACAGGGGTGCCAGAGGCTTAGACCAATCAGGGGAAGAGACCCCAGTTGGAACCCGTCCAATGTGCCCTGGGCTCTCGTTGTTTTTAGTTTCCAATCTCGAATGAGCATGTAAGACCCTGAGAGGCAGTTGGAGCAAGGTGCTAGTCACCTAGCACCTTGTTCACCCAGCAGCAATGTTCCCTGGCATATTCTGCTGCTGCATAGAGGCCTCAGGAATCAGAGGACCTCTCCCGTACTGAGTTCTGGGTGCAGGCCTCAAGTGTGGGGTTCCTAGAGGGTGCAGGGCCTAAAGCCACACCTGGGCCCAATGGCAGAGAGCCTGGCCCTGTTCTCACTTCTTCTTTTTTTTTTTTTTAAACCATGGAGAGGAAGTTCCTTAGCCAAGAACCGTTTTTAGTATCTTTGTTGGTAATAGGGACTTCAGTGTTTGTAAATTGACATATTTAATATTTTTGACATTTTTTTGAGGAAAATTTGATAACTGATGTAGTCTTATTAAATAAAGAGTTTACAGCTTTGGCTGAAATAAATGGTAAAACTAAGCTTGTGAGAGCCCCAGGGTCTTAAACAGCCATGGGCTGTTTAAATCTCTCCTCTCTGGACCTTAGAGACTATGCCTTCCCCACAGGCGGAAACTGGCCTGGACAACAGGAAGCAGCTCGCCCAAGGCCCCCAGCAAGTCAAGGCTGGGCTGAGAATAGAAGCAGGAAGCCTCCTGAGTCCATAGTGGGGCTTTCTGTGGCTCCAGCACATGGACATCCCCTTCCCCATGCACACACACTTGCTCTGTTCTCTGTGTTGGGGCTGCCTCTGGGAATAGGTTGGTTGAGGTTTATAGTTTCTCTTTTGATTTTTTAATTGAAAAAAAAAAAAAAGAGAGAGAGTTTTCTTTAATGTATTTATTTGAGACACAGAGAGATCAAATTCCCATAATAGCTAAGTCTGGCATAGGCTGAGGCCAGGAGCCAGGGTCTAGTCTGGTCTCTCACATGGGTGCAGGGGCCATCATCTGCTGTATTCCCAGGTGCATTAGCCTGATATTTTGGCCAGGAGCTGGATCAGAAGCAGAGTAGCTGGGATTTGAACTGGCACTCTGGTATGGGATGCCAGCTTTGCAAGTGGTGACATAACCTGCTGTGCCACAGTGTCGGCTCCAGTTTAGTTCTTCTTCCAAGGGCAGCCGTCCTGGCCTGCCTCCTGGCTGGGAGGCTTTGTTCTCCACACTTGGATTTGTCAGAGGGTGGCTGAGTTGCACGATGGTCTGCTTGCTGCCAGTTCATCTTCCACCTAGAAAGGTATTTCCAAACCACAGGGCTGGGGACCTCTGCAAGTCAGCCTGACCTCTGGACTCCCTGCCCTCTCCTCTTTGGCACTTAGGGTGAGCCAGGCGTGGCCAAGGCCCTTTACATGTGCTGCCCTCTTTGTTCCTTGTCAGAATAATAGAGTAAAGTCACAGCTCCTGTCTCAGAAGAGACATTTGGGGCTTACAGACTTGGCGGCCTCTCTGAGCAGGGCTGATTACCTAAAAACTGCAGGAGGCCCCAGAGGGCAGGGGTGCACTGCCGTCCGCCTGCTGAGTCTGGTTAGCTTCCACCAGCCTGACCAGGGGGATCCCGCATGCTTGGTTGAGCTGTCTCTCGCTTCTCAGTCCTGGCTTGGAGATGGGATTGGCTTTCCGAGCTGTGGGGGCTGGTAGTCAGGATGAAGGCATGTGGAGCAGGTGACGTCACTGGACAGGATGGCACGTGACTGGGCGAACCACTTGCCAAGACTCAGTGCAGCCACTGGTCCGCACTCTACCTTCAGGACCATGTTAGAGCTGTTGTCATGTAGGGCTCAAACAGGGGAGCCGGCTCAGAACCCTGGCTGTGTGAGCCCAGGCAAAGCACCCCTTCATCCCAAGCCTCTGTTTCCACAGTGGGTCCTGAGGACCCCATAGACAGGCTGTGAGGACCAGCTATAACGTAGATGAGCTCCACTTCCCCACACAGCGACTCATTAAACTTCCAGTTGTTCTTAGGGGAGATGGGTTATTTGTCATTGTCCCTTGGGGACTCTGAGAGGACACACGGGTCCTCTTCCAGGCCCATGCCCTCACTAACAGATGCACACCCTGTGGTGCACACTGGCAGGGCTCCTCTGATCTTGGGACTCCTGGGCCAAGAGGAGCACTAGGCTCTTTGTGGGTTTGGTTTCTTGTGGTAAAATGTAGATAGTAGGCTGGCACCGTGGCTCACCAGGCTAATCCTCCGCCTGTGGCACTGGCACCCCGGGTTCAAGTTCCAGTTGGGGTGCCGGATTCTGTCCTGGTTGCTCCTCTTCCAGTCCAGCTCTCTGCTGTGGCCTGGGAAGGCAGTGGAGGATGGCCCAAGCGCTTGGGCCCTGCACCCGCATGGGAGAGCAGGAGGAAGCACCTGGCTCCTGGCTTCGGATCGGCGCAGTGCCAGCCGCAGCAGCCATTTGGGGGATGAACCATCGGAAAGGAAGACCTTTCTCTTGTTTCTCTGTCTCTCATTGTCTAACTCTGCCTGTCAAAAAAAAAATTAAAATAAAAATAAAAAATTTAAAAATGTATATAGTGTAAGATTGACCATGTTAGCTGCTGATAGGCGTATGGCATGGTGGCATGAAGTATATGCACGTTGGTGGTTGCTGTGCGCCATGCGCCATCACCATCCATCTCTAGAACTTTTCACCTGCACAGACTGAGAGCTCGTGTTTGTGACCCTATGCTGTGGTTAGGTTTTCTCCTGAGACAGGAAGGGGAGCTGACGGGTGTGTTCTCGCCCTTCCTGTCAAGGACTTCCCTGGCACAGACTCCATGGCTGGCCAGGGCGTCTCAGTTCCCCAGGGAGCCAGGAACACAGCAGCTGTGTCCGTGGAGGCCCCCCACCCACCTCTGTCCTCACACCACCCTTCCAGGAACCCAGGCTTGCTCGACCTGGGCCCTGCTGATATTTTGGACCGATCATTCTTTGTTGTTGGAGGCTGCTGTGTGCCCTGTGTGGTGTTTAGCAGCATCCCTGGCCTTTGCCCACCAGGTGCTAGAAGCATGCTGCCCCCTTCCAGCTGTGACAACTCAAAACCGCCTTCAGACGTTGAAAATGACACTGGGACGTGGGTGGGCGAGAGAATCACTTGGATACAAAGCTGGCCTCACAGTGGGGGGAGTGGTTGTGGCTGGCACTGGCTGCTGAGCAGTGAGAGGGGTCTGGACAGAGGCGGAGGACCTGTCATTCTAGCCCACTTGTGTGTGTAGACTCTGCTCAGTCGGGTCAGCAGCTGTGGCCCAGTTCCTCAGCCTGGGTTTCTGACAGAAGCTTGTTTTGTAGTAATGTTTGGTGCCAGATCTGGAGTCTTCTAGAGGTGATTATAACAGCAACAGCAAAGGCCTTTTGCCTTTAGCAACTTAGTTTTCTTTACTTAACCTTGGAGTGTGTTCCTTTCCTTCCTGCCCAGAGGTTTCCCTGGCTCTGAGATAAAATCTGGAGAGTGGTTTGGTGGCTGACCAGCGTGGCATGACTTCTCGAAGAGCCTGGGAATGCTGCAGCCATGCCCAGGAGCTCGCGAGTCTCATGGCTTCCTGCGCTTCAGCACCATCCCCACGCTGGGCTGCAGCCTCTGAGGCTGCCTGAGTGCTCTGAGCACTGAGGAGTTTGAGGAAGCCCAGTGGCTGAATGTGGCTGTTGGATTCCAGACCACTTGCCCATTCTGATGTGGCAGCTGAAAGACAGAGGGGGCAGACCCAGCATAGGGCCTCAGCAGGGCTGGGCTGGGAGCCTGTGGCAGTCCCTCGGCCCTGGAAAAGCCCCTGCCCATGACCCCTCCTCTGTCTGCTGCATTTCAACGCTGAGCTCTTGGAACGGAGGCTGTCCTTGAGCCCACTCCGCACAGAGCGCTGTTCACTGCAGAGCTATTTTCAACCTCTGGTTGAAATTCACAGCTTATTTTTAGGCACATTTCATGTTGAAAAGCAAAAGCCATTTCCCAGCCATTCAGAATGAGAATAATGGGTTCCATTTTCCCTCTATTCTTGGCTGAGTTGTGCATGAGGAGGGATTTCAAGGCTTATGGCTGGGGAACCTTCTGTGTTTGGAAAGCTGCAGATGGAGGATTCCAGGCCACGTTCTGGGCCGAGGGTGGGCAGAGAGCTCTGTGTGCTGCCCGTGAGCTGCTGTGGGCTAGAGGACGGTTGGAGGGGCCCTTGAGGGCAGATGACTGCCTAGCACAGGGACTTGAGTCGGGGCGAGGGCTGTGTCTGCAGGGGTCTGTGCTCAGCAGTGTTCCCTGCTACAACCTGGCCTTCTCACCCTGCCTGCCCTGATCCATCCTCCCGCTGTCTGGGATAAGGATCCCTGTGTCTTAGCTGACCTTGGATGTGGCACCTATCCAAGCCCCAGCCACCACAGGACAGATTTCCGCCTCAGCCCCAGGAGCAATTGTAAGCCAGTGCTAAATAGCAAGGATGCATTCGTCTGGATTTACTCGTTTTCACCTTCCCTTCAAGTGGCCAAGAGCCCTGTGTGCAGTTGGGAAGGGAAGTTGCACTGGGTGCGGTGGGAGGGGTAGAACACAGAGTTCGAGGTAATTCAATGAAACAAAAAAAAAAAAAAAAAAAAAAACCAAAAAAACAAACCACTTCCTGAGCCTCAGGTTGGCTGCCGTCCTGTTCAGACATTAACCTTGGGGTTTGTCTCCATTTACCCATCACGGTCTCACTTTAAAGAGGGATGCTCACCTGTGGCTTCCGGCCAGCCCATGATTGAATCTTGCCCATACCTTGCTGGGCTGGGACCCTGGGCGAGGGACGGGCCCTCCGTGAGACCTAGCTTCCTCTTCTGTCGGATGGGGAGACGGGCCCTCCTCGCGAGAGTTCCTGGGTGGAACGTGCCAAGCAGCACTGGGCACCATGCCTAGCACAGGGCAAGTGCTCGCCCAGCTGTAGCTATTTTTAAGTTATTCTTTTTCTCTCTTCTGTCCCACAGACAGCCAGTCCGGGTGACTGTGTGTTCCAAACCTGCCGTGGTGAGGGACAGCAGGCAAGGTGGGGACAGTTCTGCTTGGGGTGGTTTTGCGTGTTGAGGTGTCTCTGCAGGCCAGTGAGGTTCTTTGCCCCTTGCAGGCGTTAGTTATGGTGACCAACGCAGCAGGAAAGCAAACCTACGGAGCAGGGTGGAAACAAACCTGCTTTCCTCTCCCCGGCACCCAGCCTGCCACCCCGTGGACTCCTCAGGGCACCATGCCCACGACCCCGAGTCTCAGTGCTAGAACCGCTGCCTGGAAGATGCGCCCCAAGTCTGAGGCCCGCTCTGTGGAAGGACACTGTTTCTTCTTCCTGGCTTCTCTGTCCCGAGGGTGGAGTCCTGGCCCCCCCAGCCCAGCCGCCGTCTCTGCTCTGGGCCCTGGCACAGGGATGGGCTGCACTTAGGGCATGCCGGGGCCCGGATTCCTGGCCTGGAGGTTTGTAGCACTAGGTCTTGTCCCCTGCTGAGGACCTGGGGGTCCTGGGTGCCTGCAGTGGCTGCTTGAGATCTGGATTCTCACTCCAGGTGCCTTGGGTCAGGAGTCAGAGGCTTGGAATGGGAAAGAGAAGGGCCCCATTTCCCTGCCCCTGGTCCATTTGGGCTGCTGTTATAAAATACCATAGACTAGGTAGCTTATAAACTTACAGGCGTCTGTTTTTCAAGTTCTCGAGGCAGAGCCGCCCAAGCAAGGCACTGACAGCCTCGTTGTCTGCTAACGGCCTGTTTCCTGGTGCAAGGATGGCTCTGTCTGGCTCTGTCCTCGCATGGTGAAGGGTATCTTCTGTGGGGACACTAATCTCAGTCATCAGGGCTCCCCCATCCTGACCTAATGACCTCCCAGAGGTCCCACCTCCTCATCCCGTTACCTTGTGGGTCAGGGTTCTGATGTATGAATTTGGGGGGACACAAGCGTCCAGATGGTGGCCGATTTGTTTCCTCTCTGTGGAGAGCATGGAGGACTCGGGTCTCCATCGGGAACACATTTCTGGCCTGGTGTTTGCTTTCAGTGGATTCGAGGTGGTGCTTAGCAGCAGGGGTGTTGTGGTGGCTTAGAGCAGGTGTGAACCCCAGATTTGTGTGCCTTAGAGAGGAGCGCCTTCCTTCTCCACTTGATCTCAATTCTGGCTCCCAGTTTTTTTCAAGACTGTTAAGAGGGATAGAGGTGGAGTGCTGGAATTCCATCTGCTGCAGGACAGGCGGAAGATGATGCTAGGCAGCCACACAACCTGACGGCTAGCTGCATGGTGGCCACCCTTCCCGGTCAGGGCGTCCCCAGGGGCTGAGGTGTGCCCGGAAGGTGTAATGGGCTCTTGCTTGGCGTGCACTCTGGCTGAATAACTGCTGTGGGAACAGGAGTGTCGGGAGAAGCAGGAGAACAGACCCTCTCCCTTAGGGCACTTCCTGCCCAGTTTGGATGTTGTGAGACTTTATAGGACCCAGGCGTTGTGGGGTGACTTGGAAATGGTGGAGATTTTGTTTTCATGTTTTTTGGGGACTTACAAGGTGGTACAACTCCCGGGTGCGGCTCCCAGGAGAAAATTTACTCCTGTCCCCTGTGCCACACAGAGTAGGAGCCTGAGCTAGAGGTCACCTGCTCGTGAGTGGCCTGGGTCCCCGTCCAGCCCAGGACCCTAGGATTGAGGTGCAGCAAAACTAAGAGAACCTGGAGAAGAGCAAGAGGCACTCTCCCCATTTCTCAGTGGGAAAGGAACACAACATTCTCAGCCCCTGGGACAGAAATCTGAGCCTCCCTTGGTGAGTGTGTGTGTGTGTGTGTGTGTGTGTCTGCATGTGTGTACACATACCTAGACCCCTGGCAGCGCTCCTCAGGGGCCCCTGGTGTTCACAGTCCCAGCACCTTGGGTCAAGTTTGATTCTCCACCACCCATCCCTGTTATCCCCTGCATTCCTGTTCTGTGGGTCATCTCTACAATACATGGGCTGTCCTGGGGCTGGACACAGGGCATTGAATGGCAGGGCACCTGGCTGACCAGACACCTTCCTGGGAAGAGGACAGGAATCCTTCAAGAATGGCTGCCCTGGAAAGGATTCTGACCCACTAGCAAGATGGAAGATAGCAGAAACTTGTGGCACTGGGAGCCACACTAAGATCTTGGTTGGCAGTGAGAGCTGCACTGCCGCTGTGTGTTGGTCTGAGCCGTGGCTGGCGCCCAGCCCACTTTGGCCTGTCCCTCCTGTAACCTCAGGCAGGCCGTGTTGACTCTTCCCCACCAGTGTGCATTGCGTGCTTTGGGCATTTTCCATTTCATGGCTCATTCTGCAGAAGAGCATCCCTGACAGCCTTTGCTACTTGAGGAGCAGAGTCCCGCAGGCCAGTTGCCTTACTTCCTGCTCAGCGTGCATTTTACCACTTTGCCTGGATGGAAGTCCTGGAAAGTGTTCTGGGTTTCTTGGTTTCAGTGGGAAGAAAAAGGATGCTAGAAATAAAGAAGATTGCTTATTTGTTATCAAAGTACAATTTTTAAGGAAGTTTCCTGCTCGCAGTAGGGGGTCCTTGGACGGTAGCTGGGCAAGATCCAAGAGCACCAAGGATTCCAGTGCTCCTCCTGCCACGGGGCCTACCCAGGCCTGGGGCAGGACCCTGTCTCCTTTTCCTCCCAGAGGCCACCCCTGACTGTGCTGCCAGGCACGATGAATAATAACTGTTCCCTGCAAGGGAGGAGCTGCCTGTGACGAGCCTGAGGACAGTGTTTGCGGAACCCCATCAGGAGATGTTGGCTGGTGAAGAGACCAACACTCACGATGGTTCTCGCACACTCACCCTACGGGTCTGGGCCCCATCCGCAGGTTATCTGACTCAGTGGGGAATTTGTATTTCTGACAAAGTCCTAGGGGCCTGATTTGAGAACTGCCAGTCTGTGTGAAAAGCCTAGCCTGTTGTGACCTTGGCAGCAGGGAAGAAGAGAGCCTGAATCTGGAGAGAGATGATTGGAGAATCCGTGTCCCTCTCCGCCCGCAGTAGTCTGCTGCTTCCCAGAAGAGGACAAGGGTGTGGCCTGGTTCTGCTCTCTGTGCAGTGCTGAAAGACATGTCAGTGCTGCCCCATGGACCGTTTAAACCAAAAGGCACCTGCCAGGCTCTGTTCAAAACCAGGCAGGCAGCCATGGTTACTCCCAGCAAAGGATGTGAGTAAAAAGGATGACAGAACTTGCTGCAGCCCTGCCATGGGTCTCTGCTGGGTCTGTCATCCCATCTCAGCCTTTTCTACCTGTTCCCACTGCTGCCATTAATCTGTTTGCCCTTTCTTGAGTCCACATTCTCTGGCCACCTGTCTCCTGCATTGTCCTTGCTGTCTCTCATGCTGTCTCTGTTGTCTGGGTCAGCTCCTGTCCTCCAGAGACTCTACTGGACTTTAGGCTGGCTGATAGCTGAGTCTGACACCCGAGCAGCAGACAGCCAGGGTGTTTGTGTCTCAGTATTCAGTGCCTACAGGTAGCAAGAGCAGGGACAAGCCCTGAAACAACAGTGACAGGGGCTGGTGGTGATTTCCTGTCACTGGAAAATCCCCATCTTGTCCACAAGCAAGTAGTTCCCTGTCCAGGGGAGAGTTGCATGATGGGAGGAAGGAGGCCTGTTGAATGGGAGGTGTGTTCTCTGACATCCAGAGCAAGGCATGTTAAGACAGTCACAGCATCATGAGGATGGAGGAAGGCGACTCAGGAATCCAGACCGTAGGTCCAGCTCTGTGTGCGTTGGGACACAGCTGGCATGAAACCTGGCCACACACATCCCTTGGAGAGCTGTGTCACCTCTTTGAAGAGTCCCAGAACTATTTGGGGGTTTCCTTTCCCCTGGAAGCCAAGCTTAGTTTCCAGGTTCTCGACGATTCTACATCTGCATGTGAAGAAATGAGTCTGGATGGGAGGACAGAGGACAGAGGGGTCTCTACTTTGGGAGCTTTGCTGCAAGGCACATGGGACCCGGGCACAGCCAGGCTGCATGCCACTTAGCATCTGTCATTTCAGCCACGGGGGCCCCCGCTGTGACACTGCCATCTTGCTGGTGGCACTGCCGAGCCATCTGCAGCCCATCAGCCCACGCTGATGGGTCGTTCTACACATGAGATCCCACAGGGCCACAGAAGAGCCTCGCACCAGTTGTGTGGTGCAAAACAGGGGCAGGCAAAAATTGAGGCCTTTGGCCCATGAGATGCTCTCCTTTTTAATTTCCCCCTTTGTTCCATTCCATTTTTTAAGCCCAGAAACCTGAAAGTACAAGACTTGAGCCACACGTAGAGATACACTCTATTGCTTAATCTGACTGTGATTCTCTGGGCCGCTGTCCCCTGTTCCCAGTAGAGTTACATTTATCCTTTCAGTCTCTTTCCAAACGGTACCTCTTCCACACAGCCCTCCTGGAAGCCAGCAGACTGAGTTCCTCCTTCCCCTCCTATCTCGAGTAGAAGCACCCTGCTCCCTGGAGTGGCCCCTCTCTCGTTGCCAGTTATTTGCAGGTCTAACTTGTCTCCCGGGTGGCTGGGCCCCTGCTCTGCCCACGGTGTCCAGCATGTGCCTGGGGCCTGGAATGCCAGGAGGACATGTGCCTTGCTGCCTGTGAGGCTGCAGGCAGGCTGTGACTCTCCTGTTGGCATTCCTGAAGGTCCCAGACTAAATGCAGGAAGCCAGTTTTTGTCCTCGTTTGTCAGTTTGGCAGCACGCGGCATGGGGTGATAGGGGCAGTGACCGGGCAACAGAGGGAGGCAGAAGCTGCGTGCCTGGACTCGAGTTTCAGAACTTCTTTCCATTTTAAATGGAAAAAAAACCCTTTGCAGTTTATATTTTCCAGATTGGATAGCAGCATTGCCCATGTGGTGTAAGGGTGTTGGATAGTGCCTGTGTTTATGTTCTTATTGGTTACCATGGAAAAAAATCAGAATAGATGGTTTCCATGGAGATTATCTTACAATTAGTTTCTTTGAAGGCCTGGACATTGCTGCAGGGTTCACTGAATACTCTCGATGCCATCAGAGGCTTTCTCTGTGGCAGTGCCAAAGGCTGGTCAGAACCTTGCTTGGACCCAGACAGGGCCATCCGCCTTCTGTGCCTGCAGATCCCTGGACCCCAGCGTGGCGGCGATCTTGTGGCTCAGCTTCCTGCCGGGGTCCCCTCGCCTGGCCTCAGCTACACAACTCATTCCAGTCATTGGGAAGCTCTCTTTTCTTTTTAATTAAAACAAAACAAAAACCTTTGTATTGGGGAAATTTTCAAGCTGGCACAAAGACTAGGATAATGTAACAAGTCCCCATGTGCCCCTCATCTCACTTCAATGTTTTGCCAATCTTTATTTTATCTGTCTACCCTCCACATTTTTTAGAAGAGTTAAGATTATTTTTAATCCGAGATACATCATTATACCCTAAATAAGGACTTTTCTTAGTTATGTAATGGCAACCTTATCACACCCAGCAAAATTAATAATTCCCTCATATCGAATTCCTAGTCCATCTTCACATTTTCCAACCTGTGTCCAGATCATTGTTTAGTGCTTTTTGTTCAAATCAGGATGTGGGGAGTGTTGAAAAAAATCACACATCCCCTACCGCTGCCATGGTTCTGCGGCGTGGAGGGGTTGAGGACTCTGGCCTGGGATAGGGGCAGCTTCCGGCTCACACCGCCCTCCCACTGTCTTCAGGGAGAGCCTGGTGTAGGAGCTTCTTTTTGCTTCCTGGAGATGTGTTGGGCTGGTGGGCCACTGCCCGCTGTCCTGGACAGCCATCCACAGGGGGGCGCTGGCCCTCTTTGAAGCCTGCTGGGGAGGGTAATGTGACCTTGATTCACAGCTGCTGTCCGTAACTTCATCTTCCAGGAAAGGAGAGCCTGGGAGACCCTGTGGGGCACATAGCCTCCCAGGATTCCTCCCTGGAAGCCTGGGGCTCCTAGTGAAGGCTGTGGCCCTCTGAGGCTTGCTGCCTCCGCGGCCTGGGCTGAGCCAGTCCTGGTGATCTGTCTTGGCAGGCTTTGCTGGTGTCCTGTGATGCTGCACAAAATATGAATTACCGAGCTTGGGAGTACTGCCCGGGGTGTGGTTGGTGGCTCCAACACTCTCCATTGAACTAAGTGCAAGCAGGGTTTAAAATAGCCAGCCTTTGTTCCCCGAGGTTTTAAAAATTCAACTCCAGTAGTTACAATGAGCTGTCTTCAAGTGGATCTATAAATAAACCGCTACTGTTCCTCTTTGTCACCGAGAGCTTCAGCGTCTTCCAGAGATGCCGGCTCTGCCGCTCGTCTTTATTAGATGCCGCTCATCTGTGGGGCAGCTGCAGCCATCAGCAAGCGAGGCTGACACACAGGCTTCATGACAGCAACACACTCCCTTTTGCTTTTTAAGATTAATGTATTTGAAAGAGCAACAGAGATAGAAGGCGAGACAGAGGTAGAGATCTCCCATCTGCTAGTTTACTCCCCCAATAACCCTGACAGCCAGGGCTGGGCCAAGCCAAATCCAGGAGCCTGGATCCATCCAAGGGCTTGGGCCATCATCCACTGCCTTCCCAGACGCATTAACAGGAAGCTGGATTAGAAGCAGAGAACCCAGGCCGGCGCTGCGGCTCACTAGGCTAATCCTCCACCTGCGGCACTGGCACCCCGGGTTGGGGCGCCAGTTCTGTCCCGCTTGCTCCTCTTCCAGTCCAGCTCTCTGCTGTAGCCAGGGAGTGCAGTGGAGGATGGCCCAAGTGCTTGGGCCCTGCACCCGCATGGGAGACCAGGAGGAAGCTCCTGGCTTTGGATCACGCCGGCCGTAGCAGTCATTTGGGGGGTGAACCAACAGAAGGAAGACCTTTCTCTCTGTTTCTCTCTCTCACTGTCTAACTCTGCCTGTCAAAAAAAAAAAAAAAAAATCATAACCTGGGGCAGGCATTTGGTCTAGCGGTTAAGAAGCTGACCGAGAGGCCGGTGTCGCATATAGGAGAGCCTGGGTTTGTTGCCAGGCCCTGGCTCCAGCTCCTGACTCCAGCTTCCTGTTAATGCAGACTCTGGGAGGCAGCAGTAATGGCTTGAGTGATTGGGTTCCCGCTACCTGTGTGGGGAGAACTGGGTTGGGTTCCTAACTCCTGGATTCAGCCTGGCCCAGCCCTTGTTCTGGCAGGCATTTGTGGAATGCACCAGTGGATAGGAGATCTCTGTTTGTCTCTCAAAAATTTAACAAATAATTATAACTTGAACCCAATCATGTGAAACATCAGATAGACTCAAATTGAGGGACATTTGACAAAGCAACCAAAATTCTGCAGAAGTGTGAAGCTCAGAAAGACAGGGAGGACTGAGGAACTGACGCAGATTGCAAGTGGATAAATAAGTACTGAAGTGCGACATGTGGGTGGACGTTTGGTATAGCACCTAGGACGTCACTCGGGACCCCCGCATCCCGTGTTGGACTATCTGGGTTTGAGTGAAGGAGTGAAGGCCCCATTTTCAGTTCCGGCTTCCTGTTAACGTACACCTGGGAGGCAGCAGTGATGACTCACTAGCTAGGTTCCTGCCACCGCTGTGGGAACCTGGATGGAGTTCATAGCTCCTGGCTTTGGTCTGTCCCAGCCCTGACTGTTGTAGATATTTGGAGGGGGTGAACCAGAGAATGGCAGATGTGGGTTTCTGGGTCTCTGCCTTTCAGAAAAATACATACATGTACACACAAATGCATGCATGCAGCGTGAAACCCTAGGCGTGCCTCGAAACGTGGGATCAGGAGACATGGTCGAAGTGCTGCTGAGCACCAGTGCAGTCCCGCCTTGAGCGGATGGTGTTTTCCCGTGTTAATTTCTGGTCTGATCATTGTCTAATTGTTATGTAAGATGTTAACACTGGGAGAGGGATATATGGAAATTCTCTGTACTATTTTTTGCAACTTTTCTCCAAGTCTAAAATTAGTTCAAAGCAGTTTAATTTAAAAAGAAAAAAAAAACTGCAGTCAATACTAGGGCTTTATCAGAATCCTTGATTTTCTCCCTCTCCAGGTACCTGGGTTTAGGTATTTGCTATGGGGAGGGGGGCCACTTCTGGCTCCAGGTAGAGAGCAGGTAACCCTACGTACGGTACTCTGCGCCAGCCGGTACTGGGCCCGTGGGACGTTTGTGGAACTGAACTGAGCAAGAGCTGCCCAGAGAAAGCATGTGCATATGCAGAGGGGTCACTCCAACACAGGTGTTGGTCCCCAGCGCGGCCCCACAGGGTGGCATCGCCTGCTTGTCTGTGTCGTCCTTTGTGAAGCTGCTGCTGCGACATGTCTGCTCCAGAAGCGCCAGGGTGGGCTGACAGCAGGAATGTGGACCTGGCCAGGGTGGGCCAACCTCCCGCTAAGGCTTCCATGGGACTCCACCTCCCATCCCGCCTACCCTGACCCTTCTTTGTGCACGTTTTGCTGGCTGTGGTAGGCATGAGGACTTGGAGAGCTTCAGCCCTCAAGGTGTAGGAATTGCTTTCCTTTCTTAAACTTTCCTCCTCCGTGCCGCCTTGCTGCGCGAAGGGCTTGAGTGCTTGTGTCTCCCGACCTCCACCAGCTGGAGACGGCTTAGCCTTCCGCTTCCAGTGTCCTCACGTTCCCGTCTCCTTCCCACTTCCTTCAGTAAGACAGACCTTCAGTCAGCTCACTCTGTCTCCTGGACGCATATTCGGACACTGACCGGATTGCCACTGCCAGCCTACCAAGGCAGCCTTTCCCTCTTGTGTGTGGGGAGCACTTGGAACCCTTGCAGAGTGAGGCAAGAGACTTAGCAGATTGCTAGGAGTTGAGCCTCAGAGTGGCTGTCCCAGCTCTAGAGTGGGGCCTTGGTGTGAGGAGAGTAGGGATTCCTGGTCTGGGTATTTAAACACCCACGTGCCCATAGGCCTGTGAACAACACAGGTATAATATGATGACCAAGGTACCTGTGGTCCTGCCTGGAAGGGGTGCCGTGAGAGGAGAGTGTGCACCACACTGCCCCATGTCCTGGGCCCCCGGCACTGGGGGCAGGCACAAGGAGCCCTCGTCCTCCATTTCAGACCCGCCCTTCAACTCCTGCACAACTCTTAGTCCAGAGAACCCCACGTTGGTTTCTGATTGGAGTCGAGGTGGTTTTGAGACCTGGTGGTGATGTGTAGTTGGAGAGGGCCTGATTCGGTTCAGAGGCTGCCATGTGTCGGTCCTTGGGCCCTGCCTCCCTGCGTCCTGAGTCTCTGGGCATTCACAGATGAGCCAGCACCGTGCCATCATCAGAGCCCGGCATGGGGAGTGTGCACAGGCGCTATGCGGCTCACACTCCAGACGCTAGCCAGCGGCAGTAACCAGACCCCGTACTCCTGCTCAGCCTGCTTTGGAGGAACGTTGGCAAGACTGCCAAACAATTAGATGATTTTAAGAAACCAAAATTCCTCTGGGGTTCAGGGCTATGTTTAGAACCAGAAGTTTCCTCTCTTGCTAGATTCCAGGCCAGAACCCTAAATTATAGGGCAAGTGAGGCTGTAGTGTATCTGATCTGCAAATATGGATAATAAATATGGTACCAGGTTTCTTTTTGAGCTTTTTTTTTTTTTTTAAAGATTCTTTGTTTTTATGTATTTATTTGAAAGGCAGAGTTACAGGGAGAGGAAGAGAGGCAAAGAGACAATCTACCTGCTGGTTCCCTCCCCAGATGGCTACAGCAGCCAGAGCTTGTCCAGGTGAAAGCGGGAGCGTCTCCGGTGGCAGGGGCCCAAACACTCGGGCCATCCTCCACCACTTTCCCAGGCGCACGTGAGCAGGGACCTGGGCTGGAAGTGGAACAGCCAGGACTCGAACTGGTGCTCACGTGGGATGCTGGTGTCATGGGTGGTAGCTTAAACTGCTGCACCTTTTTTGAGCTTTGATTTGCAAAAATGGCCCTGCCTTTTCCAACTTGAGAAGTTGGATGTGAGGCGGAGCCCAGGTGAGCTCTGTGCTGTTGTGTGCTTCCCTTTGCTGGGCCGGGTTTTGCAGAATGGATGCCTGGTAGTGTTTCATGACGGCAGGGTGTCGAAACCAAGGGCCTGAGATCAGGACCAGGAAGCTTCTGTTTCCTCACTTAGCAGATGGCTGTGCGGTGATCAGTTGAAAAACTTTAGTCCTAGGTTGTTTTCCTTCTTCCAGTTTTGCCCTCAGCCCTGCTTTGGAAATGTGGTGATGTGCTTTGGTGTGTTTAGGTGGACAGTGGCCAGACAGGCTGCCTACCTTGGTCTGTATAAGAAAGTCACCCAGGGAGACAGCCAAGCTCTTGGTCCCAGTTCACCTGCTTCTTCCCTCCCTGGCCTAACTCAAGTCATAGAGCAGTTCTTGGACCCTTTTGTCCATTTTTAGTTTGAGGAGCAGGCCAGGTCCAGTGTTAGAGATGAAAAGGAGAAATTTCCACCTTGAGCAGGTGTTAATAATTGTCCACTCTACCTGCCAGAGGGGATTCTGTCCGGTCAGCTCACAGTGTCTTATGGTCAAGTTCCGGCTGCTGCTGGCTGCTGGCCGGCCATGTGCAGACCTTGCTCCCAGCTCGGGCTGTGGATGGACCCTGAGCCCCTGAGGCCTGGGAAACTGTGGCTCTGTCAGATTCCACGGGGCAGATTGAAGCTTTGAGGATTGAGCTGCACTGAAACATGACCGTCTGGCCTTCTGCATTTGGAAGCTGACTCCCAGACCAGTGGTGGACCTCAGGGACCTGACCTGCAGTCTTCAGCCTTGGGTTTGGCTTGTTGATCGCACCCCGTGGAGAGGTGGTCATTTTCACCTTGTGCGCAGAGTATCAGTGCTGGATAGGTCGTGCTCCTGCGAGTGTTGCAGTTGCATGTTTTTTTGGCCAACCTTTACAATTTACAGATAATAGTATTTATTATTTTTAAAAGCAAACTATTCTATAACTTGAATTTTTAAAAAATGTATTTGAGAGACAGAGAGAGAGAAAGCGTGTGAGCATGAGAGAACAAGCAGTCCCATCTTCTGCTTTACTCCCCAAACTCCTCTGACACCTGTGGTTGGACCAAAGCTGAAGCTGGGAGCTGGGGACTCACTCCAGGTTTCCTGTGGGTGACAGGGACATAACCACTCGAGCCATCACTGCCACCTTCCAGGATCTACAGTAGCAGGAAACTGGAGTCAAGAGTAAGGTGGGTACCAAACCCAGACACTGCTAGGGGACATGGGATCTTAACCCAGTGTCTTAGCCACTTGGCCAAATGCCTGTCCCAGTTCTGTACATTTTGACACACAGATACAGTCATGTAACCACCATCAAGGTAAGGAAGATTTCCATCATTCCAGAAACTTCTCTATGCTGCTTTGTAGTCAGTCCACTTGTTTCACCTCTAGTCCCAGCAACCACTAATTTGCTTTCTGTCACTATTCCTGGTTTGTAGTGTTTGAAATTTGGTATAAATGGAATTATATAGGCATGTAGTCTTTTTTTTTTTTTTTTTTTTTGACAGGCAGAGTGGACAGAGAGAGACAGAGAGAAAGGTCTTCCTTTGCCGTTGGTTCACCCTCCAATGGCTGCCGTGGCTGGCGCGCTGCGCTGATCCAATGGCAGGAGCCAGGTGCTTCTCCTGGTCTCCCATGGGGTGCAGGGCCCAAGCACTTGGGTCATCCTCCACTGCACTCCCTGGCCACAGCAGAGAGCTGGCCTGGAAGAGGGGCAACCGGGACAGAATCCGGCGCCCTGACTGGGACTAGAACCCAGTGTGCTGGCGCCAAAGGCGGAGGATTAGCCTAGTGAGCCGCGGCGCCAGCCAGGCATGTAGTCTTTTCAGTCTGGTTTCTTTCACTCAGCCCAATTATTTTGTGATTGGCCTGTGTTGTTAACATATCCATGTTTCACTCTTCTTTTCTGCTGTGTGAATGGAGGTACCACAGCTTGTTTATTGGTAAACATTTGGGTTATTTTGGGATTTTGTCCATTACAAATAAAACTGCTGTGCATTTTCAAATACATGTTTTTCTATGGGCATTTGCTTTTTATTTTCTTGGTAAATATCGAGGAGTGAAGAAGTAGCTGGGGCCTTTGTAGGGAGGTATTTAACCTTTTAACTGTCCAACTGTTTGTTTTTTTTTTTTTTAAGATTCTTTTTTTTTTTTTTTAATTTATTTTTTTGACAGGCAGAGTGGATAGTGAGAGAGACAGACAGAGAGAAAGGTCTTCCTTTTGCCGTTGGTTCACCCTCCAACGGCTGCCACGGCTGGCGCGCTGCCACCGGCGCACCGCGCTGATCTGAAGCCAGGAGCCTGGTCTCCCATGGGGTGCAGGGCCCAAGCACTTGGGCCATCCTCCACTGCACTCCCTGGCCACAGCAGAGAGCTGGCCTGGAAGAGGGGCAACCGGGACAGAATCCGGTGCCCCGACCGGGACTAGAACCTGGTGTGCCGGCGCCGCAAGGCGGAGGATTAGCCTATTAAGCCGCGGCGCGCCGGCCATGCCCAACTGTTTTCAAAAGTGGTCAACCCATCTTGCATTTGCCACAAAAGTGGATGAGAGTTCAGCTTTCTCCACCTCTTTGCCAACACATGGTGTGTGTTTTTTTAACTTTAGACCTTTCTAATAGGCATATAGTGCTATCCCACTATGGTTTTTAACTTGCATTTCCCTAATTACTCATAATGTAGAGTATCTGTTTATGTGCTTATTTGCCATCTTTATATTTTCTTTGATAATTGTTCAAATTTTTGCCTGGGCATTTTTTTTAAAAAAGATTTATTTTATTTATTTGAAAGACAGAGTCACAGAGAGAGGTAGAGACAGAGAAGCAGAGAGGTCTTCCATCTGCTGGTTTACTCCCCAGATGGCCACAACTGCCGGAGCTGCAACGATCCAAAGCCAGGAGGAGCCTCCTCCAGGTCTCCCATGTGGGTGCAGGGGCCCAAGGACTTGGACCATCTTCTGCTATCCCAGGCTATAGCCGAGAGCCGGATCAGAAGAGGAGCAGCTGGGACTAGAACCAGTGCCCACATGGGATGCTGGTGCCCCAGGCCAGCACTGCAACCCACTGCGCCACGGTGCTGGCCTTGCCTTGGGTATTTTCTATTTAGATAAGGTTTTGGTCATTATTGAGTTTCTGAAGTTTGTGGGTTTTTTTTTTTTTTTTTTTTTTTTTTTTTTTTTTGGATATTCTAGATACAAGTCCTTTACCAGATATGTAATTTGAAAATATTTGCTTCTAGTCTGTGGTTTGTCTTTTCATTTTCTTTCTTTTTTTTTTTAAATGTATTATTTGAAAGACAGAAAGAAAGATACACTTCCCTGATTCACTGATTCACTTTCCAAATGCCTACAACAGCCAAGGGTGGGCCAGTCTGAAGCCAGGAAACAGGAACTCCATCTGTGTCTCCCATGTGAATGGCAGGGACCCAGGTACTTGAGGCTTCTTCCACTGCTTTCCTAGGTGCACTAGCAGGAAACTGGATCAGAAGCAGAGGAGCTAGGACTTGAACTGGTGCCCATGGAATGCCAGCACTGCAAGCAGAGGCTTGACCTGCTGTGCCATAATGTCCACCCCTCTCTTTTAATTTCTCTCTTTCTCTCTTTTTTTTTTTTTAAGATTGATTTATTTATTTGAAAGAGTTGCAGAGAGAGCAAGAGGGTGAGAGAATGATAGCTCTCCCATCTGCTGGTTCACTCCCCAAGTGGCTGCAACAGCCAGGGCTGGGCCAGTCCAGAGCCAGGACCCAGGAGTTTCTTCCAGGTCTCCCACGTGGGTGCAGAGGTCCAAGCACTTGGGCCATCCTCAGCAGCTTTCCCACGTCATTATCACGGAGCTAGATGGGAAGTAGAGCAGCTGGGACTCCAACCAGTGCCCATATGGAATCCTGGTATTGCAGGTGGTAGTTTAACCTACATTTTCTAAACAGTGTGTCTTTCATAAAGCAAAAATTGTAAATTTTGATGTTCATTTTATCAGTTTTTTTCTTCTATGAATAATGCTTTGAGTGTTGTATCTAAGGAATCTTTGCCTATTCCAAAGTTACAAAGATTTTTGCTCGAAGGCCCTACTGAACCTAGATTTCAGACTTCGGGCCTCTACATCTGTGAGAGAATTGATTTCTGTGTTTTTTTTTTTTTTTAAGGCACCAAGGGTGACAGTTTGTTAGAATAGCCCCAGAAAACTAATAACAGACGTTCCCAGTGGTTTTTGGTATGTGCACTATGGGAAAGGTAATGGCCAAGAATTATTTTAATAAAATGAAAGGTACCAAACTATAGATCTAAGACAGAAAAATGACAAATATGCTGGAGGAAAAAGAAAAATAAAAACCCTAGATGAATTCAAACTTCTGAAAGCCATATATTAAGAGAAAATGTTGAAGATAGCCAGAGGAAAAAGACACATTATTTACAGTGGTTTAAAAGTAAGAATTATAGGGCCGGCGCCGCAGCTCACTAGGCTAATCCTCTGCCTTGCGGCGCCAGCACACCGGGTTCTAGTCCTGGTCGGGGCGCTGGATTCTGTCCTGGTTGCCCCTCTTCCAGGCCAGCTCTCTGCTGTGGCCCGGGAGTGCAGTGGAGGATGGCCCAAGTACTTGGGCCCTGCACCCCATGGGAGACCAGGGTAAGTACCTGGCTCCTGCCATCGGATCAGCGCAGTGCGCCGGTCGCAGCACACCGGCCATTGGAGGGTGAACCAACGGCAAAGGAAGACCTTTTTCTCTGTCTCTCTCTCTCACTGTCCCACTCTGCCTGTCAAAAAATTAAAAAAAAAAAAAGAAAGTAAGAATTATAGAAGAATTCTCATTCACTTGAAAGTCCAAGTTATATGGGGGGGGGTCTTCTATCTGCTGGTTTGCTCCCCAGTTGGCCCCAACAGCTGGAGCTGAAGCCAGGAGGCAGGAGCTTCTTCCAGGTCTCCCACGTGGGTGCTGGGGTCCAAGGACTTGGGCCATCTTCTACTGCTTTCCCAGGCCATAGCAGAGAGCTGGATCGGAAATGGAGCAGGCAGGACTCAAACCAGCACCCACATGGGATGCCAGCACTACAGGCAGCAGCTTTACCCGCTATGCCACGGTGCCGGCCCCTGGAGTAACATCTTTAAAGTATTGAAAGATGGGGCTGGTGTTGTAGCATAGCAGGTAAAGCTGCTGCCTGTGATGCCAGCATCCCATATGGGCACCAGTTTGAGTCCTGCCTCCTGCACTTTCCATCCAGCTCCCTGCTAATGTGCCTAGGAAAGCAGCAGAAGATGGCCCAAGTCCTTGAGCCAGCCCCTGCCACTTGCCACCCATGTGGGAGACTGGAAGAAGCTCCTGGCTCCTGGCTTCAGACCCACCCAGCTTTGGCTGTTATAGCCATCTGGGAAGTGAACCAACAGATGGATGATCTCTCTGTCTCTTCCTGTTTCTCTCTCTGCAACTAACTTTCCCTTTCTTTTTATTTTTTTATTTCATTTATTTGAAAGAATTAGAGAAGGAGAGGCAGAGAGAGAGAAAGAGAGGTCTGCCATCCTCTGGTTCACTCCCCAAATAACTGCAATGGCCGGAGCTGCACTGATCCAAAGCCAGGAGCCAGGAGCCTCCTCCAGGTCTCCCACACGGGTGCAGGGGCCCAAGGACTTGGGCCATCCTCTACTGCTTTCCCAGGCCATAGCAGAGAGCTGGATCGGAAGCGGAGTAGCCGGGGCTCGAACCGGTGCCCATATGGGATGCCAGCGCTGCAGGCCGCAGCTTTAACCTCCTGCACCATAGCGCCAACCCCTAACTTTACCTTTCAAATAAATAAATAAATATTAAAAAAAAAAAAAAAAGAAAGGAAAAATATCTGCCAATCCAAAATTCTGTACTCAGCAAAGGGGAAGGAAAGACTTTTTTTTTTTTTTTTTTTTTAAAGACAGAAGCTGGAAAATTCATTACCAGCAAACTTACTTTGTAAGAAATGTCTCCTCTCTCTTCTGGGATTCCATTCCACATGTGCCAGTTTGATGCTGTCTCCTAGCTTGTAGCTGCTCTGTTCTGTGTTTCAGCTCCTTTAAGGGCACTGATAAGTTGTCCTCAGCTGGGCTGTGCCTGTCAAAGCCATTCTTTATCTCCGTTACCGAGTTTCTAATTTCTGGTGTTTCCATTTGACTTTGTGGAAATTCCCTATCGGTTCATGTGTGTTATTCAGTAGAATTGTCAACATACAGATCTACTGTTTTAAATTCTGGGCCTCATAGTGCCGACACACAGGCAGGCCATCTAAACCTGATTCTACTTACTGCTTTGTCTCTTGACTGTGTTTTTGTTTTTAATTTCCTTGCCTTCTGTGTGTCTTTTGATCTTCTGAGTGAAAGCCGACATGCGGTTTAGGACAGTAGAGTGGTGTTCCTGGGTGCTGGCTGTTGGAGAGTGAGTGCTTCTCGGCGTTCTCGCCCCGCTCTCTGCTTCCAGCTTCCCTGTGCGGCTTCCCTCGTGCTCTGTTCCATGCCGTTAGGTATTTGTCAGCTTTGTTGTGCGCGGAGCAGAGAGAGGGGGTCCTCTGTCATCCTGATCCCCTTGCAGCCTTGGGCAGGCCCTGTGTCCCTGGGTGTCAGAAGTGGGGCCTTCTCAGTAGTGCTGCCCCATCTCAGCCATGAGACCTCAGAGATCTTGGCTCAAGATGGTTCTTGCTTCTCCCCCGAGGACACAGTTGGTTTTTATTTTTATTTTTGACAGGCAGAGTGGACAGTGAGAGAGACAGAGAGAAAGGTCTTCCTTTACCGTTGGTTCACCCTCCAGTGGCCGCTGTGGCCGGCACACCGCGCTGATCCAAAGCCGAGAGCCAGGCGCTTCTCCTCGTCTCCCATGGGGTGCAGGGCCCAAGCACTTGGGCCATCCTCCACTGCACTCCCTGGCCACAGCAGAGAGCTGGCCTGGAGGAGGGGTAACCGGGACAGAATCCAGTGCCCTGACCGGGACTAGAACCTGGTGTGCCAGCACCGAAGGTGGAGGATTAGCCTATTGAGCTGTGGTGCCGGCCTCCTAGTACCCTTGTGATTTGAGCTTCAGGTGAGAAAGGTCCTGGCCAGGCTCCCTGCCTTTTCCTTGTCCACTCTTGTCCTGTAGGCCTGCACCTTGTGCGTGGATTTCTCCCATCAACCGTACTGCCTCATCTTTCTCACGAGTGCCCCGTGGCG